CTCTCTCTCTGTTATGATCTTGGTTGTCTGACGATTGTTACCGCCACTCACACACAGACAGTCTCATACACGCCCAGACATGCATAAGAGAATGGGGAGAGGAGACAAAGTCCACACTGCACACAGATCAGAGTAGGCAGCGGAATACAGCCAGGAAACACACCTGATGGACACCCCAGAGCACAACCGCACCCACAAGATGATCTGGCCATACCAAGCCTTCAGGGCCCATGCCCCGAAACCTGGAAGTGCAGGGGTAGCCATCTGGATCCCCCCGGAGTCCAGGGCAGACCCGGTCCATTGGGTGATAGACCAAGAGGAAGGCAGGTGGGTGTCTATCCTGGTCACACTGGAAATCGAAATCGTATGCATAGTGTGTATCTACACCCCCAACACGGCACGGGAGAGAAGAATCTTCTTCGAGAACATCAAAGCACTTGCCTGCAAATCCATACCCGGGCCTAGACCACAAAATGTGCACGGTCACTCTATCCTTTCGAAAGAAACCAGACTGGGGACCGGGCTTCTACAAGCTCAACACTTGCATCTTGAAACAAAAAACCTTTCACAACTACATCGCGGACTGCTGGAAATACTGGCATATGCAAAAACAACATTTCCAACAGGCAATAGACTGGTTTAACAACGGGCTGTTCTATCTGGGTAAAAAATGTCAAGAATACTCTAAACTATTGGCAGCCAAGAAACATCAACAGGAGATGGAACTACACCAGCAGCTGCAACAACTTGAGCACCAGGACCAGCCTAACGACAACCAAATTTTGCAAGCAGAAGAATACTCAGAGATTCAAACGCTCAGAAACCGGCTTCAAGCTTTCGCCACGCAAAGCTGGGACGGAATACGAATAAGAGGACGACTGACACGATACCAAACAGAAGGAACAATGGATAGGAATTTTTTTAGCATGGCCAGAGTGAGCTCACACAAAACCACCATCGAAGCATTATACGATCCACAAACCGGACACCAAGATATTGTCACCTCTGCCCCCCACTGCACACAAATAGCACGATCATTCTTCCAAGATTTGTTCACCTCAAGGTGCTTCCGGCAAGAAAGAAACGCCGGGGAGAAAGATATTGCAGATTTCTTGACCCCACTAGAGAAGACCCTGACAGGCCAGCAAAAAATAGACCTGGACCGTCCCCTGTCCAAGGAGGAGATATGGACGACGATGATGCAGATGGAAGAAGAGAAGACGCCGGGCATTGACGGGTTCCCAAAGGAATTCTGGGAAACCTTCTGGACGCAGCTAGCCCTAGATCTAATGGAGTTCTATCAGCAGGTGTGGGAAACAGGGACAATGGGGGAGTTGGTGGGTCAGGGTGTTCTCACTTTGTTACACAAAAAGGGGGATAAGATGGACATCCGAAACTACAGGCCAATAACCTTGCTCACAGTCGTCTATAAAATGTTAGCTAAGGCCCTGGCAAACCGATTGCTCCCGGTTCTGGAAGATACTATCCATCCGATGCAAACCGAGTTCATCAAAGGTCGCAGGATCCAGGATAACATACTATTAGTTAATGAACTGCTTAAGCTGACAAGACAAGACAAACAAAACGCTGC